ACTTTAACCCATAACACACTTACCAAGGTGAAGCAGAGAATAGATGGCAACTGAATGCAGAAAGAATGGCAAGAGTAAGACCAAATTAAACAGATGAGCAAAGAGGACGTTGTAGAAGAGATGCAATGGAAAGGCAAAGGGTTCACAGAGGCAATGGAAGCCAGGCTCAAAGTCGGACTCGATGATCTATTGAGGTCCCTTCTGACCCTAACATCTATGAATCTATGAAAAGACAACAACAGATTCACTGAAGACGAGATTGAGGAACATAGTTGTGGATTGACGAACACGGTGTGCCAATTGGATAACTATTTAAATTTCCAAGCTGAAAGACCGTCAGATGGCCAATTCCAGAGTTGTTGTCGTAAGAGGAAAGTGATTCTGCCTCCAAGAAGACCATTTCCAGAGTATTTGTAGGATTCAATGACAAATCAGAACAGTGAGCATTACCAGAACTTAAAAACAAACATTTGATCGTACAACAGTGCATTCATTGCCTGTTGAGCAAAGATCATTGTGACAAGATGTACAATTCATGGACCATGTGGAGGACTGAATCCAAATGCACCATGCACGGAAAACCATCAATGTCTGAAGAAATATCCAAAGGAGTTTAGAAAGGAGACACTTGGAAATGTTGATGGATACCCATTGTATACAAGAATACCAGGCAGAACAACCCAAATTGGTAATGACACAAGTGGTAACAGAAACGTGGTACACTATAACAAGTAGCCTATTTTTGCCTGTTATTTTTGACAGGCTTTTATGCTAGTATTTTTATTTGAACAGCCCCCATTCTCATACTTCCCTGTGTGCTGATTCGGTTGCTGGGTTGGGCTGGAGTGATGGACAGTGTCTAGTGGAAGGAAGCAGATGAAAACAGGAAGGGCCAGCAAAGGAGTAAACTACTGTATTTACATAAATACAACATGAGGTTCCCCCTCCCCCCACAACTAGCATGGGGAAAAAAGTCCCTCCTCTTATAATCACATACAAGGAAATCTCACTAAATACACTGTCTATCATTAAACTGGTGCCAAAAGCAGTGTGTGCTCAGCAATGGAAACCAACTATGAAGCTGAATGCAGCCAACACTGAGGAGGACTATAAAACACATGGCCCTGTACAGTATTGGGCAAACATGCCGATGGGAACCTACCACAAGGTAAGTTAGTGCAGTCAATAGGAATAAAGCATATAATAGTGCCCATTAAGTGCACTCCCCCTCACCATCAACTCTTTTTCAAGTATGGGCAGCCATTATATTGCATGCATTTTGACTTCCTCTTCACTCCCACAGCTGAGCATGGATCCTTTGTGGGGGAGAAGGGAGGTATCTGTAGTACACGCACATAATGAGCAGCCCTGAGTCATGGGGTCACCATAGGTTGAAATACTATCGACTCTGGTGAGACCCAGCCCAATGAACTATGTGGTATAAGCCTTTGATTTTGGACTAATATCATACACAGTTTGTACTGCATGTAAATAGGTGCTAAAGTGCTGCTCAAAAATGCGTTTATGGAGTAACTGTGATAAAACTTGCAACAGTTGCCAAAAAAAAGGTAACAAGCATCAATGGGTTACATGACCCCCCAGGGGACAAATTCAAGACAAACCTCCAATAATTAGCTTCTATACCTGGAAAAATACAACAAATGTATAACATTTCCATATACAGAATCTAATTAAGGGGAAGGGGTAAGAGTTGTCTTATAATCAGGATCATCTCCTATTTGAGTAAATATTGTAATCATAGGTTAGGGAAAAGTGTGTCACCATAAAGACCAGCACATCTGAATTCAGGGTCAAACTTGGTCCTTTTCTCCATGAGTGACAAGAACCAACTCTGGCACAGATACAACAGCATGAGCTGAGCATTTTGCATCACTCCTTATGATGTGCTCACATGACAATGACTGAGCACTAAGAGCCATACTTGCATGTCCCCAGTGACTGGCAGGCCCTTGGAAGAGTCTTGAAAGATTAAGAAGGAAGCTCAGAACAGGGAACCCAGGCAGTGATGTGGGGAAAATGCACAAACTGCTAAAGGAGTGTGGCTGGAAGGGGGACAAAGTGGCTCAAGAGGCGAAAAAAACCCCCAGTAACTGAAAAAGATGGAGAGAGTCATTTATGATCCTAATCCGATAATGATGAACTGCCGTGCAGCCACAAGAATCTGAAATATCCCAGCTACCCCTCTGCCATTTTATGACCCTTTACGAACATTAAGGATGAAAGAGTATCACTTTCTTTTAGGGTATTTCTCCATGTTAGTCTTAAAAGAATGACCATTGTTATCTACATAAAAAAACATGAACCATATGCTTGAATAGGATTTTGAACTCGTGCTGGTCTGTACAGCTGATGGTAGAGGTTATAGTTTCAGCTATGATTTAATTTGGACTGGTGGAGCTTGCACAGGTTGCAGTGAGGATGCAGGCAAGATCAGCTGAGGTCAAGTAAGTCCAACCAATACCCTTCCCACAATTCCAGCTCCTTCCCTATGCCAAGGGATGGGTACATTTTCTCACAACTGACCAGGAAACAGTCCAGGAATGTTTCAGTGCAAAAAACCCTGGGATATGTCCTCAGGCTACACATGCAAGTGAGGAAACAAATGGAGCTACAGTAAAGCTTATTCTTCTGAGGATAAGGTAATGTAGACAAGGCTTTGTTATACCCATATCAGGGCTAACTCTGCATTTTAGATGTACTCCCAGAGACTCAATCCCAGGTTCGGGTAATTAAACTTGGGATTTTCCATATATGTAGTTACACAGACACAAGCACACAGACACATAGAGATCATGTTCTCTCACGTACAAAGCACTCAGAAAAGGGTTAGTTAAGGAATAAAGGCCAGCAAAAGAAGGCATGGAGGTATGGGATTTACAGGGAAGAGAGTCACTTGTGTATCTCATGTGTAAGGAGCAGACAACAGGGACAATATGGCAGCATTTCACTGGAAAGCACTGGAAGGAGACACTATCTAGGACTGTGTCCTAACCCATTTGTGATTAGGCAGGCTAACATTTTTAGCCTGGAGTCTGAACCAGGGCTTGACACTCTGCTGAGATGCAGCACAGTGTCAGACAGCAATGAAGAGCACAAACATTACAAGTGACAAGACTTCAGGCCTCCCAATTTGAGAGCTGCATTGCCAAAGTGGGTCACAAAGTTAACCCCTCTCATGCCAACAGTTACAGGAACCCTTTTCCCAACATCTAAAACAGTTGTGCTTAACCTCCAGCTTGCAGGACAGACCCAGCCCATGAAGCCATGTAGCCTGGTGAATGGGGCTCCCCACGGGTCTGGAAATTTGGCAGCAGAGAAGCAGTGGCTATTATTAACACTACCACCACTCCACTGCCAAATTTCCAAGCCCTGCAGGCCCTTACAAGGTTCTACATGTGGGCCTGGGGCCACGCACTGGGACAGCCCTGTGCACCAGATCAGGCCACACACTGGGCCAGCCCCGCACGCCAGCTTGGACACACAAACTGGATCCACCCTGTACATTGATCCTACCCCAATTGTCCAACCACATGGGGCTAAAAGGTTGGACATGACTTATCTAACCCATTTTAGTCCTTAAGTTACTTTCATCCACAAGGTCTCTGGCCAACAACCAAGTGCCTCGATTAGTTGTTGGACATTCAATACAGGTTTGTCTCTGCAACCAGAGATGAAGGTATCTCTACAGGGATTTATGGCTCAAATGCCTCTTTCAAGCTGTCACACGACATTGTTTTCAATTGTATGAATGTAATTAAAGAAATAAAATTAGTTACATTGCACAGCAGTGGCTGTCTCTCTCTTCATCAGAGGTCACTGAACTGAGCTCCCGCTGCTGGGCTTATACAGCACATGCTGCTGAGAACTGCAGCCAAGGACTAGCATGCCTGTTCCACTGATGTGAACTTCAGGCGCATGAACTGCTGCTCAAACAGCACAGAGATCAAATAAGTTGAGCACATCTGATCTCTGTGAATAGCAATGCTAGGGAGGGTTAGATTTGTTTTTACTTCATCAGCTTGTGAAACACCAGAAGTTGGGCTCTGTATTTAATGTCTGTTTTAGCAAGACTGCTACAATGAATGGAGAAGCTGACAAATAAGGATTTGTTGCATCAGGGCTTGTCCAGCTGTACAAACAGCCTCCCACTCCTCCAAAGCTGCCGCCTGATGGTAGAGGCCTGACTCACAGTGCTGAAGGCTAAATGTGCCTTCAGCACTGTATTCAGTGATCTGTTCTCTTACTGAATGGCAGCCACAGATTTAAGACCCGCTGCACCCAATATTCAGTTGCATAATAAATTTTCCCCCTTCTGATTTGGTCATGACAGCTTATGCTCAGCTTGCCCTCCCCAGGCAAGAGGCAGAATGAATTTATTCATTCTCTGGTCTCTGACCCTTTTAATATTAGAATACTACCTTGTGAGTGCCTGTGGTGAAGGGCAGGACTATGTGGAGTAGCAGAGTGCTTCCTCTTGGCCTAACTGCAATTAAGATGTCACCGATACTTAAAGCAAGACATGCTCTGGAGAATACACAAATAGGATGGTGCAGGCTATAAAGATGGAGCTTGTAATGAAATTCAATTGAGTTGGGAACAAGAGGGCACCATGAAAGCCCTTTAGAAGAGGAACTGGTGTATTTTATAATGCTCTCAGACACCTAAGGAACTGACAGGGCTCTTCAATCCTCCTCCCCTCTTCCCAGTGAGAGAAAGCAGGAAATAGTCCTATCGATCTACAATGGGAATCTAAGTTGTGTGGTAGCATTCTTCTTCTAAAGGAAGAACCTGGCTGTGAACTGGCACAGAAGTAACAATGGCTGCTGAGGGTCCCAGTAATCTATGAATCTCTTCAGGTCCCAGTAGCGGGCACTCAGCACAAAGGGAATGAATACCCAAGGTCTTACCAACCGCTGAGACCACAAATGTTTTTAGTTACTGTACAGCATTTGAAATGGAAGAAAGAGTACATTCCTTACCAAACTGTCTAACCCTCCGCCAAGGAGGTCCACAGCACCCATCTGCATGGAGGACACTTGGGGTACATTCACTGGGGGGCCCAGGTCAAGGTTCAGAAGATCACCCAGAAGGTCACCTTGAGATGGGATAACCTGAGGCTGCTCCAAGTTGGTAGTGGCAGTGGTTCCCACAGGGCTGTCTCCTGCGTCAGTGCTGTGGGCAGACAGAAAAATAAATAAGGGAGAATATTTAGTCACTTTTGTTGCAGCCTTTGGAGCTCCAGAGAAGAGAAACTGCAGAACAAAGACCCATGAATGACAGCCAAAAATACAAATGACCCACAAACAGCAACGTGGTACAGCTCCAAGCAATGGTGTTGTTTTTTTGGCGACTGACCAAAACACATGATTTATGATCACCAATTGGAGGCAACAAATAATGGGAATTGGTGGTTAGTGTTTATTGCTTAAGGTGTCCCTGGGTTAGCCAAATTATCTCCTTAGCCAACACACATGGGACATACCAAGTTATTCAACTGTCTTTTCTTCCTTCTAGCAATCGCAACAGTCTGAAGCTTCAGACACAAGGCACAAATGGAAAAAGGACAAATTTATTTCTCTAGCAATTAGCTTTCTTGCTAAAGCATGAAATATAACTTGCCCTATGCCAGCATCTAACTTTCACCTGTTATGAAGTATTCTAGATTTTTTTTTAAACCCAGCTAGCATTATTTCAATGTAAGGTAGTGGGACACACACACACACACACACACACACACACACACACACACGACACAAGATGCACACACACACGACGGGTGGACTGCAAATGCCATAGTGGCCACTCAAATTCCTGTGCATCATTACAATATTTTTATATTCAGAGAAGCTATACAATTTTAGATTCACTTTATGCTTCTCCTACCCCCACACTCCCAACTGTCTGCAGTAAGGGAGCAAGTTATTTTCACGCAGTATTACTGCACATGCATCAGGGGGTTGTAAGGAAGTTCTCCTGGAATTAATATTCTGATAAGGTGTTTTAAAATGGGAACATGCCTGTAGGGATCCCACCCTACTAATTTGTGAGTAGCCTTGATCCTCCTTCCTGATACTGCCATGATTTGTCTGAAGATACCTTTGGAAACTGCATACATGCTGTTGGTCACTTTGGTGAATGCAGAAAAGGATATAAGAAAAAGATTAATGGAATGAAATTTAGTCCCTTAATAGTGTTAATGCTGACTTTTTTTCATGCTTCCACCTTTAGTAGCAGGGCTTTTACATACTGAATATGCTGAAACGCTCACTTGAAAGCAATTTCCCTGATCCAGCTCAATCCCCATTAAGAGCAAAACGTGTGACCTGGATGATTTTTATGAACAACGGACATGAATAAAATTGTATTACAGCAATGCCAAAGGGCCAAACCCCTTCCTTCAGTCTCCTTCCTCCTGTATACGATGACACTTTAATGTTCCAACTCTCCTCTACTTATACGCCCTTTCTCTTCTCTAATGGAGATGCACAAACACTTTTCTTCAAAGACTGTGTGTGTGTTTTTTGTTTTGTTTTGTTTTTAAACTGTAGGGGCCCCCAAGGCCAATGAGGAATCTGCATGACAGCTTTCAAAAGAATAAAAAGAATCATGAATGGCCATATATTAAGAATACAGACATGCTATCATGTTTCCCTTCTTTTATTGCCCTGGGAGAACAATGAAAGGGAGAATGTTTCAATCCCTGTTCACCAGCAGATCTTCTCTTGAATTAATATATTTGGGCTTTCCCAGAACATCAGCGCAGCTCCCAGAATCCTTAAGCCAAAGTTAAATTGGTCGCCTCTCTAAATTCCCCAGCTCTGGCTGCTCCCAGAACACCAGCAGCAAAAACTTGTTGGAAGACAAGTAGCTGCTGGTGGCTGCAAACCAAGGACTGAAATATAAACATCCTAAGAGAAGAGCAAGCATGGTATTTAAAGATAATATCACTCTAAAGAAAAATCCCCACAAGCAAAAAAAGGGTCTGACCTTCCACTGCTGATAGGCAAAACGCTGGCTTTCAACCTACTCCCCTGACTCTTGGGATTTCATCACAGAACCCCAAAAAGGTACCACTAATTCATGACAACTGGTGTGCCTGAATAGAAAGAGCAGAGCACCTGGAAGCAGCTCATGTGGCTGAGAACTGCTTATCAGCTGAGAACTGGAGCAGTTAAAGGCCAATATATTACCTTTAGAGGACAATGCATAGGAGAAAGTTCACACTGCCAACCACAACTATGAGTAATTTCTTACAGGATTATGCCCAGAATTTCAACACTTAACCCTTCCATTTTAATTACACCATTCGGGTGGGGGGGAAATCAATAATTTAAGCTAGCACTTATCCCAGGAATCTGCCACCGAAAAGTTTCATCTCCTCAGAACAAAAGAAATTAAGATCCTACCCAAGTTTTTTTTTTTAAATCACTGTCTTCCACTGGCAGTTTTAGCTTGATCCAAGTGAACAGACGTGCAAGTATTGCTGGCATCCGGAAGATGCAAGTCAATTTCCTTGCACAGAGCAAGAGGACTTGCAATGAGTGATTTCAGGTCTCCCCACAACACTGCCCCTGAGGAGTAGTATTGTGAATATGAAATTGAAAGCCATAATTTGGCTTACTGCAATACTGCTGCAAAGAAGGCCCTTCCCTGAAGCCTGATCAACATGTCTTTTTATCAAGCAGTAAGGCTGATAATCACAATAATGACATCTCTTTATTAAGCTGAGCTCATGTAGAAGAAATCTAATTTGCCAATGAATAGCACCATTTGCCTTTAATTTACAGAGCACAGCACTGAAAGTTAATACTCTCTCCAAAGTACTGTTTGTTGTTCCCCTGGTCGCTTCTTCATATTGTTGTGGATTGAGGTATAGAGGATATTGGCCCAGCTAACAGATGATTAAGTAACGTGATATTAGAGCAGTGCAGTGATATAAGCAATAGCTATATGGTACTTGGAAAATCAAAGGGAGTCCGTTGGCTATCTGGACAGCATCTGCCAGTGATGAATCCCTAAGCTCTGCTCTAGAAGCGGTGAAGAACTCATCTGAGCTAGTAAAAACCTGAGATATCAGCTTTGACCTGAAATAACAATGAACAGGAGAGCTAGTTGGCCAAGCCTGAGATGGAGATTTGGTCTCACCTTTGGCCTGGTTTGAGTTAAATTATTCCTACGTGGCGGCTAGCGATTGGCTTGCTAGCCGTATAAAAAGCTTGAGTGGTTTCCGCACAAGTTGGAGAACTTGGAGAACTCCGAGGAGAACCCCCACAAGGGAGGACTCCACAACTACCAGGAGGAGGAGACTTCATGCTGTGTGAAGATCTCTAAGCGCTGCGGAGCCTATTGAACCCAGCGCATTTCAAGCAGGCAACAGGGGTCTGATCAGCCTCTAGCCTCTCCCCGTCGCCGATAGATTCCTAGACGTATCCCTCCCTGCGCGCAAAAAAGAACCCACAGAGCCTAGCAAACTTCGTGTGAGTCTATTCCTTGCCAGCTGGAACGACTGACATACTTGTTCAGACGACCGGACTACCTCAGAGCGCAAGTTCCACGGAGCCTAGCAAACTTCGTGTGAGTCAGAGCTTTTCCGTACGAGTACTTTCTTCGGTTGACACGACGGGCTCACGTGTTTAGAGCCTTCAGCCGGATTGGGCTAGAGTTCGTGAGTTTAGAACTCTTGTCCGCCTCTCTTCTTTCCTGTCTGTAACCGCAACTCAAGCAAGTTTTCCTGCCTGCACCGCAACCATCTTCGGTGTAAGTAAAATAATCTTTAAATCAACCATTACGCGTCCGTGCCTAATTCCAGCGTGTCGCCTGTTCTCTCCGATCCAGCGTGCCCGGGCTGCTGGCCACAGCTCGCGCATAGCACAAAAGGGCCCCGATCGCTCCCCGCTGTCCGCACATGGCGACGAGGGTGGGATCGGGAGATAGCCCACACACCTGGTTTGAGCCTGAAGACTGCAATTTAACCCCTTACAGGCTGCACACAGCCTGTGGGCTGCCAGTTGAACAGAACCGCTATAAAACAAGGATTCCAGTACACTGTGCACTTACTATTTGATTTCACATCACAAGCTTATTTCCCAGTCTGCTCTTTGGTTTGTATTTTTTGTCTTTAGAGAAAATTTGTAACATACAGAACAAACCAAAACCTTTCTATTTTCACAGCATTTTTTAAGCTTTAACTTACCTTAGTTTTACTCCAGGCCAAACTTCAATGACCTGACCTAGCACTTTTTCTACCCGTTCTGTTTTTGAAAAGTTAACAAACTTTTCAAAACAAAGCTGGGGGATTTTTTTTACTATTTCTTCCCTAATTCACATTCTCAGAGCAGAGAAGGCCAATAACGTAGCTATTCTCCGTTGGCTATCTGGACAGCATCTGCCAGTGATGAATCCCTAAGCTCTGCTCTAGAAGCGGTGAAGAACTCATCTGAGCTAGTAAAAACCTGAGATATCAGCTTTGACCTGAAATAACAATGAACAGGAGAGCTAGTTGGCCAAGCCTGAGACGGAGATTTGGTCTCACCTTTGGCCTGAGCTAGCCCATTCTGCTATTGGCCCCTGAGCAGGACATAGTTCTTCTGTTTCCATTGCACTACGCTGCAGAAGCCCCAGAAGTCCTGAGTGTAACTTGAGGTTGCAGGCCTTTGGTCAATGCAGCCAGACTAAGTTTCAGACAGAGGAAAAGCTACTAAACTTCATAATGCTCCAAAGCCATGGAACGTGTTTTAGCCATCAGGAGTATTTGTATCTATGGAAGGGAGATATGAGGAGACAGCAAAGGCACAACTGGCTATACTGATTTGCAAGAGGATAGCAAAACAATCAAACAAACAATAAACCAACAGTGGTTCAAGAACGACTTCTCAGGGTTTCTGGTACACATTACATTGACACTATACCTTCAACTGGAAAAAGAGCTGCAACTGTAACTGATGCACTTAGCAAGTAGTATAACTCACCTGAAGAAGGAACCATGGAACGGAATGAAATACTGTAACATGGGGCTGTCCAACTTCTAAGCCACTGCAAGCCACATCAATGGGGGCTGCACACTGTGCGGGCTGCAGCAGCAGGCAAGCCACGGATGGACGACTGGGCTGCACAGGCATGCACCACGAGGCCCCCAACTGCTCTGTGCATCCCTCCCCCAAGCTGCTACACCGTAAAGGCACAATTCCTTTATATATTGCTGCAACACATGCACTCATGGGCACTTCCCCAGCATCACTGCACCAAAAGCCACCTCACATACCACAGGAAATACAATGCTTCCCCCCTCGACCTCCCATTCCCCTCTCCCCTTGCACAGCCCAGCCTGACTGTCAGCTCCCCATGCAGTGCTGCACTGCCCTGCCTTCTGAAGCAAGAGCAGGAGGAGGGAGAGCCCAGAGACTTTGGCTGCTAGGAGCAGCTGTCTGGTTTGAGCCTGAAGACTGCAATTTAACCCCTCACAGGCTGCACACAGCCTGTGGGCTGCCCGGTAGACCCGCTATAAAACAAGGATTCCAGTACACTGTGCACTTACTATTTGATTTCAGATCACAAGCTTATTTCCCAGTCTGCTCTTTGGTTTGTATTTTTTGTCTTTAGATAAAATTTGTAACATATACAGAACAAACCAAAACCTTTCTATTTTCACAGCATTTTTTAAGCTTTAACTTACCTTAGTTTTACTCCAGGCCAAACTTCAATGACCTGACCTAGCACTTTTTCTACCCTTTCTGTTTTTGGAAAGTTAACATGCTGGGGGTATTTTTTTTTACTATTTCTTCCCTAATTCACATTCTCAGAGCAGGGAAGGCCAATAATGTAGCTATTTCTTGCTTACCTGCCATGGTGAATTGGCAAATGCTTGCGGTGGATCCCGTGGCTGCCCTCCACAAAGGCGTTGGGTGGTTTGTGGTACACAGAAGCCAATGACCCAATGTGGCAGATGAGCTCATCCAGCAGTGTTGGCTCAATCAGGTCAGTCTCCTCAGAAATCAGTGGCTTTTCTGATAAAACCACTTCTTTGGCAGTCACAGGATCCGTGGAGAGAAGGCGCCAATAGATATAACCACGATCTCGCAGGTCTGGGTTGTCTGAATCCTAAAAGAAAACAGAGTCTCATCCAGGGATTTGAAGCAGGTTTATTTGCTGCAGTCACATTCTTTTTCTTCCAGTAACCTTGTTCTGTTTTACTGGAAATGAAACTACAACCTTGAAGACAATGCTACTGACTGAAGTACTTGTCATGAACAGCAACATTTGAAACAAAAATTAGAGTTTGGCTTCTTGCCCCTCAGCTAAATAGCCAGTCAAAGAGGAAAACATCTAGTTGAATAGAAAAGGGATCGAGTGAGATAATTAAGTACAACAACAGACCTCAGGGTTTAGAACTCCCTCCACTCCATTCCATATGTGCTCTTCTAATTGTCCTTATTTAATCCTACCATAAATATAAATAGAGGGATCAAAATGACTTCCTCATTCAGCCACATACTAGTAGCAGATGCATAATTCTGTGCCATGAAAGACAATGACAGGATTACAAGGGCACTGGTAGGACAAGGCACATAAAGCCACAGGATAGGTGGCTAATTTGTTAAGAGTTTGCTTTACATACACTTTTGAAAGGGAGCATAAAAGGTCACACATGCACACACGCACACACTCATTGTTAAAGACATTCTTCAGTCTTTCAGGCCTCCAGCTGTCAGTAACATCCTTTTTATTGTAGATAATTCTGTACCAGCATGAAAAGCTGTTTTAAAAAAGAGAGATAAAAGCCTAGCTTCAAAAAGAAAAGAAACAAGAAGCTCCAGTATTTTTGGGGAGTAATTTTATATTGTACATTTAAGCTACCCATGGAAGTAAGGGGGCTGATCACCAGGGATCCAGGTTTCCTGCTTCCCATGCAAAAATGGGAAAAAACTGGATTTTCCCTTTTAACAGACAAAAAAAAATGGATTTTTCATTTTAATGGAGATACCCACAGATTTTCTACTTTTGCAAAGAGCTCTCTGCAGGCTGGCAGAGTTCCAGCCTGCAAGAACTTCTTGCAAAAAGTGCGGCAAACCCTCAGCCAAGGGCGGGCAAAATACGTCCTGTGGGCTGGATCTGGCCCATGGAGGGGCTTTGCCCAGCCCGTGGTGGGTCCCTCAGCCCCGCCTGGCCCAGGCACCACCCACCCATGGCCTGGACATGCAGCAGGGCTGGGGTGGCTCTGTGGCTGGACTGCCTTTCTAGGCAGCCCAGGTGGCAGTGGCTCCTTCTGGCAGTCACTGCTGTTGGCCCCAGATCCATGGTACGAGCAAGGAACCAGCAGCACAACTCCAACCCAGCCACTCTGCACCTACTTGGAATTCACCCGCCCAGGTTCAGCAATGGCGGTTGCCAGGCAGGTATTTCCTGCTGCAGCTGCCCAGAGCCTGTGCCGGGGTGCCTTGCGTCTCAACTGCTCTGTCACTGCTGCCCCACTGGGCAGCCCAGACGTGGTGCTGAAGATGCAGGGAAACCCAACACGGGCTCCAGGCAGCTGCAGCAGGAAGGATCCAGCAGCAATGAGGGGGAGGAGCCATTTTTCCCCCACGCTGAGGAACAGGTTTTGCCTGGCAGCCGCCACTGCTGAGCCTGGGCACGTGAGTCCAGAGCAAGCATGGGGCAGGCTGGATCAGGGCTACACACATAGGCTCCTACCAGTACAACAGGCCTGAGGCCAGCGGTGGCAGCAGCTGGAAGGAGCCACCGCCACCTGGGCTGTCTAGAAAAGTAGTCCAGGTGTGGAGCCGCCACTGCCCTGCTGTGTGTCCAGGGAGCAGCAGGATATACCACATGTGGGTGGTGCAGAGCAGGCACGGGGCAGGCTGGGGTCAGGGATGTGTATGTGGATTTCTGGCTGGTCTGCTCCTGCTGGGGTGAGTCCAGAGTGGGCGTGGGATGGGGCTGGGACTGTGGGGCTGGGCACACAGACTCTAGGCTGTTGTGGGGCAGATGTTGACCAGCTCACGGGGCTGTGTGCAGGGAGGGGGGTGCAGCAGGATTACATGCACACCCCGCCATACCCAAAAACCCTTCTCCCACAAGCACCACAACCACACCATCTCCCACACACAATCACACATCCCTCCCCAAATGCACCCCTCCCCACCCCACATACCCGTACTCAAGTCTAAATGCATCTCCAGCATTATAGCCAACTGAATGTAACCAGGTTTTATAAGATTTCAAATCTCAAAACACCTACTGGAATAGATAAAAGTAGATTTTTTTTTCTCCTCACCTCCTTCTCCTTCTCCTACTCTGTCTTCAGTGAGGTTGTTATCTAGGCTGGATGATTTGGGCTAGCACGGGTACCCTACCACATGCTACAATCTCACCTCCATTTTGTTCTGGAGATCTCTCCCGACACACATTAAGCCCTCAAATTAGAGGGGGGGAGTCCAGAGTGGGCGTGGGATGGGGCTGGGACTGTGGGGCTGGGCACACAGACTCTAGGCTGTTGTGGGGCAGATGTTGACCAGCTCACGGGGCTGTGTGCAGGGAGGGGGGTGCAGCAGGATTACATGCACACCCCGCCATACCCAAAAACCCTTCTCCCACAAGCACCACAACCACACCATCTCCCACACACAATCACACATCCCTCCCCAAATGCACCCCTCCCCGCCCCACATACCCGTACTCAAGTCTAAATGCTTCTCCAGCATTATAGCCAACTGAATATAACCAGGTTTTATAAGATTTCAATCTCAAAACACCTGCTGGAATAGACAAAAGTAGATTTTTTTTTCTCCTCACTTCCTTCTCCAACTGTCTTCAGTGAGGTTGTTATCTAGGCTGGATGATTTGGGCTAGCACGGGTACCCTACCACATGCTACAATCTCACCTCCATTTTGTTCTGGAGATCTCTCCCGACACACATTAAGCCCTCAAATTAGAGATGGCTAGAAATACATGCTTAGATACTCTCATGTTAAAGTGAAAAATAACAGTATCTCTACCTCTGAATCAGAGGTCAGAGCACTAAAACACTAAAGGGCCTATTGCCATGCAACTTGCATTGCATTATTATTCATAGAAATATGCAATAAGCCAGACTGAATTAAGGTTTGTGACAAACAAGAGGGGAAAAAATGGCACCCTAGGATCATACTAGGCTCTTAAGTGTTTTGTGACTCAGCAGAGTGGGTTTTAATGCCTGGCACATTTCTTTTGCAGGCTCTCTCTATAATGATACACTGTATCCTAGACCCAACCAAGCATAAAGTTCAGGGACTGCCTAATGGCATCTTTGTCTTTGCAGCTATGCAGGCTCCAAACCCAACTTTTACCCCATTCTTTGATGGCATTAACAGTGGCTCCACACATCAAGGTGAGGATTCTAAATGCCAGCAGACCATGCCTGTGACCTTTCTTAAAGCAAAGCAGACCAGATGATGGCAGTTTAAAACATTTTGGAAAAAGAACAAACTCTCTGAAAGCTGGAAGGGATTTTATATTAATTGTACAATGCAGCAGGTCTTTGGAAGAGAGGGTGCAAAGGGCACTGGACGACTAGCCCCGGTGAATGCAAGAGAGCTAAGCTGAGGCCTCCGCTGTTCCTGTCAGAGGAAAATCCTCTCTAACAACCTGGAGTTGCAGGACTTCAGGCTGTCAGTTCAAATCTGGTTCAGATTCACAGGGATCCAAGGTCAGGGGATCTCTGCTCAGCAGCCCATGCAAGCTGGTCTAAATCCAGCATTAAAAATGTCCAACAACATTGCCACTTTTGTTGGCAGCCTGGGGAGCAAAAGAAAGCCTTGTTCTTTTGATTTCATAACACTGCTAGTGTTCTGCTCCAATGCCCACTGGTTACAAAATGTTTGCCAATCCCGACATCTCTTCTCTTCCACTTCATCTCTCTGATTTCAACTACAAGCCATCTTTCTGAGGGAGAAGATTCTTTGGATCTCTATGGAACCTACCCATCCTATGCTTCGTGTTCCACATCACAGAGACAAAACCAGGGTGGGAGCAAGGGTTGAAGAAGAATTAAGCAGCAACTACACCGCAGCAATAGTGCCTTGGCAAACCCAAACACTGAAAGTCACAGCCCTTTGACTCAGAGTGGAGGAACTGGTTATGCTGTAGATACCCTTCATTCCTGTCTCTTGGCACATCTAGTTCCCTTGGCATTGTCAAGGCAGAACACACTGTATTGTCTGCCAGCATCACGATGCTTGGACCACCTGGGTTCCTACTGGATACAGCTTGGCATACCTGTGTGGCCAGGCTTAGGACCTGCTGAAACAATGCTGAACCAGCTCCTGCGTTTCTGAGGGCTTCTTTAAGAACAGCTTCACTATAGCGGTCAGCAGAGTGAGCTGCACCTAAGATAAAGCAGGAACACAACAAAGGTTAGGAAAGGAACATAAAAGTATGCAGATAGTCAAAGATACAATGTGGTTAGCTTGTAACACTGCCTTGTCCAAACCCAAACAACACAGCAGAACCTTGCATACCAGCAAATGGTACTGTGTCATTTTAACTGGCTAGAAGCTAATGCAAACTGCACAGATCACATGCAAATATAGAATATTGATTTAGCACAAAGCATGTGAACCTTTTGCCCAATGAGTTAAACAGCTCCATGTTTGTTTGTTTTTAAATCACAGGTTTTATTTTATACTTCCATTGCTGTAGTTCTGCATTAAGATCTCAAGCTGTCTTAACAAGCTGTTGGGGTCAGTGATGATCACATTATAAGTTACTTCATTGTTCACCTCTCCCAAGCAGACATGGGGGGGAGGGGGTGTTAAAGCCAACTAGGACAGCATATGTAAGTCTTTCCTTTCCTCAGAGCAAAAGAAGCTACCTACTTGATGCACTAACTCAGTATTCCAGTAAGACACAAAACAAGCCTACTGAATTCTTCTGCAAATGGCAGAGAGGACCATTCAGACTTAGCCTCAGGCCATGGCTACACTAGCAGTGCATTACCCCAATAGGAACACCAACATGCTATACTGGCAAAGTGCTCCTACCATCAACTCATAATGGCAAGACTGCACTGTAGCTGGTGTTAGCTTATTTCAACCTCCAACCTAGTGAAACAGATTTAAACTAGTAACAGTGAAGTTTTGTCAGAATAATTTGAGTCCCCACTATCCCAGCATAGCTAGGTCAGTCAGGATCACTCCTGATGTAATATGCCTTGGAATATGCAGTTTCACACTCAGGACTGGCTGAAAGTTTTCAACAGAGAGTGTCCTCTAGAAAACCGGGTCTTCAACTAAATGAAATTTTGCACGAAGTGTCAGGTCTTCCCATAACATTGATATTTTTGTCAGAAAACAAAATGGACCCAAGCCACAAAATATTTTGCTGCTGTAGCACCTTCAGGGGCTTCACATTGGGATATCCTTGTGTCCCCATTTGTCCTGGTTTCCCTGACAGAAGTAACATTTCCCATTATATACTACATATGGAAACTCCCATCATGCACTGCATTCCACCTGTTTTATTTTTTAGAGGACATATTATGGTGTATTATGCAAGACAGTCAAACCAGGGAGCCAGTCTACAGAGGGAAATGAAAGCAGGGGATCCTGAAGGGCAGCCTCCCAAGAGTCCTTGAATTTTAGCCAAACATTTGAAGTTTTCCAATTAGCTCTAGGAATACTATGGTCAGCCATGTACACCCACTGCATATCACCTTGAAGGATGGGGGTGGAGAGCACAGCTTTACCTGGGTGCTTTCATCATGGAATCCTTCCAAAAAGCTCTCCAGCAGCTCATCTGCGTTGTCTATTCTTTCTGCATATTCACCCACTATCCAGATCATGGCAGCTCTGGCATCCGGCTCATCCAGAGAATCTAGATTCTCACACAATGTGGCAATGATGCTCTCATACCTGATTTACCAGAACAAAGCCTGATTACTGGGGGCAAATTACATCACTGTGGAACTAGCACTCTAACCCATGCCATGCCATTACGGGTGAAGCCCTCTGATCAAAATCATGACAACTTACATTATTACGAGCTATAAAATGGCACACAGCAAGGAGATGAGTTACATGATAAAAATGTTTCCAATGACACTATCATCTTCGTAAATGATGCCCACTTAGTTAAAATTCCAAAGGCTCCTCTTTCTCTTTTAGGCAGCAAGACTATGTAGGAGATAAAACTCAAGACACAGACTTGCCATATTTGTCTCCTTAATAAAAAGGTATCTTTGCTCTAACAAGTCAAATAAGCTCAGTCGCTTCTCTTGAATCTTTATCAGGTCTTGCCTTTTCACTGGCTGCTGTTCCTGGCTGGGATTTCTAACCAGGGTATCAATACCTCCCCAATAGCTTAGCACTAAAATTAATAATGGCATCAGCACACAGCTCTGGTGGGGTACCTCTATGGCATGTAGTGAGTCTCCCTGCAACTGGCAGCAGGATTAGCCACGAAGAACCAACGACACACCTACAGGCTGGGGAACTCCCTGCTTGCCAGTGCTGAGACAGAAAAGGATCTTGGAGTCATCATTGATGCCACAATGAACATGGGCCGACAGTGTGGGGATGCAGTCAGGGAGGCCAACCATACCTTGTCATGCATCCACAGATGCATCTCAAGCAGGTCCAAGGAGGTGATCCTCCCCCTCTACGCAACACTGGTCAGGCCGCAGCTGGAGTACTGCGTCCAATTCTGGGTGTCACACTTCAGGAGGGATGTGGCCAATATGGAGAGGGTCCAAAGGAGGGCCACCGACATGATCAGGGGGCAGCAGGGCAGGCCCTACGAGGAGAGGCTGAGGGACCTGAACCTGTTCAGCCTCCAAAAGAGAAGGCTAAGAGGGGATCTAGTAGCCGTTTACAAACTAGTCAAGGGGGACCAACAGGCATTGAGAGCATCTCTGTTCCCCCGAGCAATCCCAGGAGTTACAAGAAACAATGGATACAAGTTAGCAGAGGGTAGTTCCAGGCTAGACATTAGGAAGAGCTATTTCACTGTCAGGGCGGCTAGGACCTGGAACCAACTTCCAAAAGAAGTGGTGCTGGCTCCTACCCTGGATGTCTTTAAAATGAGGCTGGGCGACCCTCTGGGCGGGGGCCTTTGACCCCACTCTCCTGCCACAGCAGGGGGTTGGACTAGATGATCTCCTCAGGTCCCTTCCAACCCTACCAACTATGAAACTATGAAAACAGAAGGCTAAGCCCATGGTAACATTTAACAAATGGAGTTTGTTTGAAACAACACCCTGAGCTCTTGGGAGGTGAAACATGTTTTTAAGCTTGTGAACCTTCTGCTGGAGGTGGCTTATAAAATCACCCAACAGACGCTAGCAATTACAGGAGCCTAATGCTGTAAGATAGGTCAGTGTTTCAATGTAACCACCATAATCAGAATTTTATTGATTTTAATTAACTTGTACTTAATGAAAACTAAACATCTGTATGGAGGAAAACTCTTCCCACTCAAATATATACTGTGTCAAAGAGCAATCTATTAGCAACACTAGGGTACCACATTCTTGGATTAGAATAGTCCACTTTTCAGAAAGAGAGCCACCTTATCCATTAAAGTTGGAGAAGTTACACAAATGATGGGAGCTTTGAGTTACAGGGCACTGAGCAAAATAGGGGCAGTTGTCCTTTAAGGCATTAGCTGCTCAGGTCCTTAGGCCTGAAATACTTTCACTTACTTGTTGGGATACTTGCGGAAGATGTCCCTGATGACAACAATAGCCTCCTGGACAACATAGTTGACCTTGGTCTGGATGAGGTCCAGCAGGGTACTCACACAGCGTTCTGCAGATTGCTGAGGAGAAAAGCAGTATGGTAGTCTTAGAACAACTTGCCGCAAGGCAAAGCAAATAAACCACCCACATGTTGTATATGATCTGAAAATTGAGGTGTACTTCTAAGCCCAAAACAGAGGCAAAGGCTAGCAAGCAGCCCTGAGCACATGCACAGTTTGCAGATAGGAGCTTAGTGCTGGCATATTCAAAACTTTGCAGGACAAAGACACTGTCCTTTAACTCAAGGGCTTGTCACAAGAAAAAAAAAGGTTTTATTCTGACATGATATCCAACCAGTGGTCAGCACACATGCAAAAGTGATATTAACAGACACTACCTGCATTAATACTTCTGCATCCCCTTGCTAGCCAATACACAAAACAGGCTAGCACCCTGCAGGAGCTGCATGTCAGTATTCAGGATTGAAAGGAAGTTCAAGGGGGACTAGTACAATGTGCTGGGGGAAGAGAAAAATGTAAAAGCTACAGGGAGAAATGGCAGGGATCCTGGTTTTCCCCGATAAAAAAGTTGCATGTTCTCTGATAAAAAGTTGCATATTCTCTAATAAAACCCACCAAATCCATGATTAAAATTAAAGGCACCACACAGCCCCCACAGTCCTGCTGGTGCCCCTCACTCCCCACACCTTCCCCACAGCCTGCACAGCCCTGCTGGTACCCCTCTACAGCGGGAGGAGTTCCAGGCCCAGTTGTATAGTACACCGGAGCAAGTCCCTAGCAATGATAACATCTCTATCCAGGCACACTGGACAGACTCAAGTCTGCTGTCCAAGACGCCTGCGCCCAGACTATTGAGTTCGCATTGCAACAGAACCAGGACTGGTTTGACGCCAATGACACTCAGATCTGCAATCTCCTCAAGTGGAAGCGTGCAGCCTTCATCACCTGGCAAAGCCATCCACAAACTCAGCAAAAGACAGCAGTGTACCACCAGCTGAAGGCTAAGGTCCAGTGATGCATCCGCGACATGAAAAACAACTGGTGGGTAGAGAAGGTGCGCGTGATCCAGAGCTACGCCAACCAGCATGACATACATAACTTCTTCCAGGCTACCAAGACAACTTATGGACACCGCTCCATTGGACAAAACCCCCTCCGATCACAGGATGGCTCCTGGCTCCTCAAGGATGATGATGCCATCCATCTGTGCTGGAAGGAGCATTTCGAACTCCTCCTGAACTGGGAGTCCACCGTATCAGAGGAGACTCTCCAAGTCATCCCGCAACACCCTGTGGTGGTTTCCCTTGGTGATCCACGAACCATCGGAGAGCTGAAGCGGGCCATCCAACAGATGAAAACCAACAAAGCCTGTGGGCCCAATGGTATACCCACAGAGGTCTACCATGCTGGTGGCTTCCGGCTCGCATCACAACTCCACCAGCTTATCCTCCACCTTTGGGACAAAGAGGGCATCCCTGGGGATCTCAAGAACACGATCATCATGACCTTCCACAAGAAGGGAGACAGATCTGACTGTGGGAACTACAGGGGGATTTCTATCCTGTCCACTGCAGGTAATATCCTGGCCCGCATCCTCCTGAACTGCTTTCATCCCATCACCACGGAGATCCTTCCGGAAACCCAATGCAGCTTCCAACCATCCCGGGGCACTGCAGACATGGTTTTCGTTGCCAGGCAGATCCAAGAAAAATGTCGGAAGCAAAATCAAGAACGTTCCTTGCCTTCATTGACCTGACCAAGTCATTTGATTCCTTAAATCGTGAAGCTGTGTGGACCATCCTCCAATACCTTGGCTGCCCGCTGAAGTCTGTCACCATACTGAGATTCCTGCATGATGATATGACTGCCACTATCCTGAGTGGAAGATCTGAAACCAATGTCTTCTGCACCCAGACTGGGGTCAAACAAGGTTGCGCGATCACCCCCAGCTTGTTCACCATCTACCTGACCGTCATCATCCACCTCATCCAAGATTATCCACCATCTGGCATCAGTACCCAGTATCAACTGGACGGGAAGATTTTCAATCTTGGGCACTTCTGGGCAAAAACGAAACTCACCACCAAGGACATCCATGACCTTTAGTTTGTAGACAATTGCTGTGTGATGGGTCACTTTGCACAGGATGTGCAAGTGACCCTAGATCTCTTTGACACTTCATATAAGAGACTTGGCCTGTTCCTGAACGTTGCCGAGACAAAGGTTCTCCACCCACCCTCCCCAAGCCAGCTGAACATCCCTTGTGCTAGCTACGTAGACAAGGAGGCTCTGGAGTACGTGGAGCACTTTCTGTATCTCGACAGCCACCTCTCTCAACAGGCTACCATCAGGTCAGCTGCATCAGTGTCGCAGTTTGAAGACGGCGGCAATGTGCCTTTGAAAATAGAGACCTTTGGAAGTCAACAAAGCTCCTGCTTTATAAGGCTGTCATGCTGACCACCCTCCTCTACTGCAGTGAAAGCTGGACTGTCTACCAACGCCACATTAAGACCCTCAAGAGCTTTCACCAGCGGTGCCTGTGTCAAATCCCAGGGATCAAATGGGAGGACCGCTGGACCAGCACGAGTGTCCTCCACGAAGCTGCGTCCACTAGCATCAAAGCCTTGCTCTTGAGAAATCAACTCTGATGGACAGGCCACCACATACAGATGTGCGAGAACCGCCTCCCTCGCCAGATTCTCTTCTCCCAGCTCTCTGTTGGCCAATGCTCAAAGGGCGACTGAAGGAAATGGTACAAAGACATGCTCAAAGTTGCCCTCAAGCACACAGGCATTGACATCAACAGCTGGGAGGAGCAAGCTGCTGACTGTTCGGTGTGGAGCCATCTGGTCCACCAAGGTGCACACCATTTTGAGGCCCAACAATTCGATACTGAGGTGAAATGGCAGCGGTAGAGGAAGGACAAGGAGACCAACCCAGGACTGTGAATGTACACATCCAGAATTGGGCTCCTCGGTCACCTGAGGACCCATCAAGCCTAACGGATGTCATCCTCGACTTTGAGGGACTGCCACCGCCGATGACATGGCACCCCCTGCCTAACCACCTTCCTCTTGCTCCTCCCAGCCCCTTTCAGGCTGGAACTCTGGCAGCCTGCAGAGAACTCACTGCAAAACTGCAAAATCCTTGGGTTTCTCTGCTAAAATGAGAAACCCATGTTTTACTCCAGTAAGGAGGGAAATTCTTGTTTTATTACGTTTTTCTGTGGGAGACAGAAAACCCAGCTCCCTGCTGATTAGCACCACAAAGCAAACTTGGAACTATGGAACAGCAGCTTCAGTATCTATGGGGTGGGTTCACTAACTCTATGGCCAGATACTTCTCTTAGATTAACTATGGCTAGAACAATTTAAAGACTAACTGGCTTGAAACCTTAGCTTTAAGCACCATTACAGAGTAAGACTGGATGCTAGAATGCTCTCTGTGCTAACAGAATATCTAGGTAGTAGAGCTATATTCATTAGGAGATAGGAAAATCAGGAAGACAATGCTCTGAGGGGTACTAGCAAAGGATGCCACACCCAAGAGCTATAAATGGCTGATGCAACAGGGCCTAGAATGAGATGTTAGCAGAGTACATACAAAGCCTTATTACATAGCCAATGATTAAACGTGAGGAACAGACTGCTCAAGGCAGTGAATAAGGAGCCACCATAAATATATTCACAGAGCATTCAGTATAGAGACACAAACATTATAGGGTACAGACAATATCTACGTAGGTGGATCTTAGACTTGAGTGAGCTAATAGTCCCCTTCAATCTTGAAGTGCTTGGGGGTGGTAAGGAGGAACAAAGGGGATTAAACAGCAAAATCAGAAGCTCAGTTTGAGAACTGGCAAAATCTCATGGACAAACCTCAGGCAGCAAATAAATCAAGTCTGTGACATTTGGCTCAAGTGACCAGGAACCCCCTCCCAGCCAAGAAAATGACATTTTTCCAAGTGTAGCATCCTACTCAGTGACAGCACTGGCAATAGGAAGAGGTAGAAAAGCGGCACACCTTTAATTGCATACTTGTCCTGGCCTTGCACTGAAAACAAAAGGCTACCTAGAAATGTCTCTTACAGAGGCACACAGAATACAAAAGGTGTCCTCCTCAGCACTGCTCAGTGTGTGTCACACCATTAAGACAGCAAGAAAAATACAACCTGGAACCTTGTAATTGAAAGGTGTCTGCCTTGATAACAGGGTGCTCTGATCTCTTCTCTTGCTTGCTTGGGAAGCCATCATTTGAGGACTGTGAAGCTGAAAAGCCTCAGGGTCTCCAGGTTACAAATGTTATGCAGATGGACTTTTGCGCTGTCTGTTCACTTGGGATCTCAATGAGTTCCACAGGCTCAGCCAGTAAGGAAGACATATCCAGATGAGTTATTTCATCTCTTCCCAGATGTTCAATAGCAATGATGGACATGAAGCAGTTCTACAGCTCCATTTTGCTGCCTGATTTCAAACAAGGTGAACTTTTCATTCTTCCTACCTGACCTTAAAGGAACATGGGTTATAATTGTACTAAAACAGTATGATTTCTTTTCAAAGTAGCTGCACAAAGCCTAGCTTGCTATTAGAAATATTTTTCCTTGCAGTCCAAACAATGCAGTGGGGTATGAGAACTTAAAAGTGAAATTGATGAAGCCTCATTGTCCAAGTGCTGAGAACTGCACCAGGAACAGGATAAGCAAATTAATATGGGTAATTCTGACCCATTGACCAGTCTGCAGAATGCTCTCTTATGCCAGGGATAATATCCTATGTTTACACAGTACTGATCTGTACCATGAGGAGCTCTTTATAAGGGAATTGCTATGGAAGGACATGCAATTCTACTTTGAGTCTTGGCAAGATGCATCTCGCCATATGGGGGGAGTTTATTATTGTGGGACAGGCATTTGAGAGGGTTCTGCAGGCAGACTCCATACAAAAACATATCAGTTCAGAAATGATGTGTGTGTGGGTCAGACTACTGTGCAGTGCAAAGGTAGAATATGAGCCAATATGAAAAGAAGCAGTTTCCAGCTAGGGGGTATTCAAAATTGCTGCTGTTCTACAGAAACCAAACACAACCCAGTAAAGGTGAGCCCAATTCTGTAAATTGTACTGTAAAGATCCCACTCCTGCAATTATCTGAGAACATTTGCTGACGTCTCTCCAGAGGAAGTCTTACTGTGAATGGGATTTGACCCCTCCTCCCATGTCCCCACACCCCCCACACCTACTGTATGTACTACATTAGCTTTGCTACTTGCACTCAGTGTCTTGTTTAGCCTGTCTACTCTAACCTGATGGAAAGTTTTGGGGCCGGGCCGATGCTTCATTTGTATCCCTGTGACGATAGCTGCAGGTGGCATGTTTCTCTTTTGCCTTGCAGAGAGTTAGCCAATACACAATTCTCTGTACTCCTGACAGATAATGCACTTGCTCCCAAACTAGAGGAATGCATTTGCTCCCAGCCTCTGATCGCAGTGGATACAAATATATTCATGAATCTACTCTCCTAGAACAGACACAATTAGATAAAAGGCAGGATTCCTGCAGGCGGAGATGAGGTTCCCTGTGAACTTTCCATCAGGAGCTCCTGCTGGCTCTGTCCTGTGTGAAAGGAAGATTTTTAAGCCATCGAAAACTTGAGAGCTTTGATGGCTCAGAGAATGAGGAGATCCCTCCATTAGTTACAATCCATGATGGAAATGGCCTCTAATAAACTCTGTTGCCCTGGGAACAGGTATCTATTAACCCAGAGACAAGAGTCCTCTTACATGCTATAGTGGATTGTTTTGAGATTGCCTTCTTTTCAAGCTATCGTTAGAGAAATAAACAGACCTTAATTTTCAAAAGCAAAGTCTTCACAAGATGCTAAAAGTAAAATTAACTGTTTATTAGGACGTGCATTTTTATGGTAATATGGTAAAGAATTATCACTGAAAATAAGCTAGGCATCTTATTAAGTCCTTACATATACTGGACATGAGTCTCACAAGACCAGATGTGTGAGGGCAGGCAAGAGGCCTCCTACAGCATCCTGATATCTTAGCAACCTGATTCTGTGGAAATCAGAGGGCCCGGTTAGCTCATCAACTTCTGATGTGGAGGGACTGGAGTGGATTCAAGTGAGAGATTTGGAGAATACTAGCCTGTAAATGCATCACCTCCAGATCTGTTCAAGCTCCTTTACAGAGGTAGCACTTTCTGCCTCAGGAGCCCAATTGTTTGCTGTTGCTGGTTTTTAAACAGTCTCCTTCTCATTATTTGACTAGAAAAGATTCACCAAAATTACAAATGCAAATGGGCTGGCAGGAGATCACCTCCTCTGCTGCCTCCGACATGTGGCGGGAAGTCCACAGAGGTAAAAATCTTCAACCAAAATCTATTCAGACCAGAGGAACTAGGTGACAGCAAGGCAGGAGGCAGCAAATGGACCATATCCCCTAGAAGAAAGCAAATGGTGCAAATCTGTGTGTGGACACTTTAGTTTAAGGCAGGTTTGTTTTGGGTTCGCTTAAATCTGCTCCCAAAGTCAAGAGTGACTTGAGCTAAATTTAAACAAGTTTGATTTAACTTGAAGCATAAGTGTCCACATAGTACTTTGCATGAGTTTATCTACAGTGGCTTAACAAGCCAGGACTTTACACCACAAGTCCCTGCTCTCTTCATAGATCTGTCCAACCCTTGAGAAGTACAAGTTTGCCTAAAAATAGTAAACTAATATATAGCCTACTGTTTTCCTTTGAAAATAGTTTCTGCCTTTAAACTGAAAAGGAATGTTGAACACTGAAATAAATCTAGAAGTTTTACAGACCTTTAACACTAAATGATCTGAACACTAAATGATCTAAGGGGCAGGACGGGGAGGGGGGACTTCAAATATGAATACTGAAAAATAACAAATCTTCAACACTTCTCAAAGCTCTTGTTCAAATGCATCTGGGGCCATCAACCATTTTAGAGAAACATTTTTCTGCTTTTTTATGCAATAAACACGGTCTCTCTTTTCCCTTCCCCAAATGCCAGCTCACAGTCATTGTGGGTAATTGTCATTATTCTACTGAAGCCAGTGGAGTGATGGCAATTTATATCAGCTAAGCATCCACCACGACCTCAAGATCCAAGAGAATCATAAGACCATCCCCTCTAAGGCACTGAAATGAAAGTCACGATTTTCATGTTCCATCTTAGACTCTGACACAGACCCATGTAAAACCATAAGCAAGTCATTTAATCTTTAAGACCGGGATAAGGAGCCTTCCCCACCATGCAGGGTAGAAGAGGGAAATACATCAGCATTGCCAAAGAGCTCAAAAATTGTGCTGTTGCACATGTCACAGCGAAGTCTAGAAACAAATGCCAAATACTTACCTCAACCTTGATGGCATATCGTCCAATTGCTCGCACAGCCTTACGGACAAAGTCAACATCCACCTCAGTAGCATATTCCTTGAGTTCTGCCAGAACCTGTTGGGCAGCATCACACAAAACCTGAGTTGTTTGGGTCAGGGAGTGAAGGGTAACATTTCCAATGACTCTTTCACTTCTAACCAAGCTTGGTTATTAGACTGTAAGTGGAGCTATAGTGTCCCCATGGCAGAGAGTGCAGTAAATGCAATTCAAGTTTTATATTTAAACTTAATCTAAAATGTCCCCTCCATAACTGTAGGTGCAGGTATGAAATGAATATACTCCTTTAACTCCAGGAGCAGTCTCTAGATTCAAACTCTGAACTCCACCTAGAGAAGGGCTGCCTAGAATGAAGCAGCAAGATGAACTTCACTGTGGGTGAAAGAAGAATGACACAATCTGACCTATTTTCAAATTTCCTTGACCAACTTGTTAGCACAATCCATCCTTTATTTAGAAGCATCACCAGAGAGTATAGGAGAAAAAGGGGAGAAGGGAGCTAGTGCTGTCCATTCCTTTATAGGCCTATCACAGAGGTGTGCAAAGTCCGGCTGGCTGTGGAGTCCATTTCCCGGCAGCCCCTGGCCACATGGAAACCAGCCCCAGCTGTGCTGGCAGGGCGCATGGCAGGGGGCTGCTCTGGAGCTGCTGGGATTTTGTGGCAGGGTAGCTTGGTGGGGGCCAGGGCAGAGCTGTGATCTGCAGACTGCCCACTGAGCAGGAGCCCACAGGCAGCGCATCGCGGCTCTGCCCTGGCTCCTTGCAGCGGTGACAGTGTGGTCCCGAGCGAGGGCCAAGGCATGATCTGCTGCCTACACACGCCTGCCAAGAACATGCAGGCTGAGACTGTGGCTCTGCCCTGGCCCTGACCAAGCTGCCCCTGCTGCAAGATCCCAGTGACACCAGAGCAGCCCCGCCAGTGCAGCTGGGGCTGGTCTCCATGGCAACTGTAGCCTTGGTAGCACAGTGAGCTGTGGCTGGGGTCTCCATGGAGATCAGCCTCAGCCATGTGGGCAAGGGCTGCTACCAAATAGAGTCCAGCTACCAGCTAGATCTGCCATTTTGTACACCCCTGGCCTATCAGTCTGATGCATGGAGATGCATGAATTCTGGGGCACAACAGCAGTCCTTGCGGGCAGATGCATAAAGGTTCTAGGACACTTTGCCTAAGAGAAGCAATTCTTTCTTGGGAAAATTTTGGGTTGACTTTTTTTTTAGTCCTAGAGATATTTAAAATACAAATGGGATGTGTTATTTTATAGTATTACTACTTCAAACTCATCTGCTCCTCCTCATTTGGAAGCTGATAATTTAACCAGGTTCAAAAGGGGATTGAACAAATTCATGGTGGATAGGTCCCTCAGTGGGTATTAATGCAATAGAGTACAAATTCAAAGTTAGGACAACCTAGGACCCTGAATGCTGGAAGCAGTGAAGAGAGAGGCGCAGGGGAGGGATCATTTGAGATACTGTATGTCCTGCTTAAACTCTTCCCTTTAGAATTTACTCTGTTACTATGAGGGACAAGATACTGAGCTAGATGGATCTGTAGTCTAACCCAGCAGAGCATTTATATTCTTGTTTCTCATATGTTCCATGTGTATGAAAGAGCTGATGTGAATTGGTTATGTCACAAAGGCGTTGCAAAAAAGAAGAAAAACATTTGTCTGGAGAATTTGTGCCCGCTTTCTCTTTGCTCGCTGCTGTTAAAGCTCTCTCATGCAGACTGGCTCTTTGAGCTCACAGATATTGCCAAAGAGAATGGACACACCATGGCATTTCAGCAATGTAGTAACAGGACAGAGAAGATGCACAGCATGAACAGTCAAGAGTTTCCTAAATTCTAACCTCAGCTCTGCTGAGATCCAACTACAAAAATGTAAAACCCACTTAACAGGTGTGCTGCTCCTGCTTTTAAGTAACTAAACAATATACTGTGCTGAAGGGAGCATTGATTTGCTGTCATTTCTTGCACAGTAGTGGAGAACAATTTAAGGAGGTATCAATTTGTACATAAATCCTCCCTCACATTGTTTGCCATCCCAAGGATGCATGCATCCTTGAGGAGCTGACCTGGGCGATGTTTGCTTGAGAGGCCAGGCGGATCATGATGTCCAGCTTTTCCAGTTTGACATAAATGGGGTCATTGTACTTCACAAAGAACACCTTGATTTCTTGCTTCAAGATCTCAGGCCTGGAGAACACATGCAACAGAATCAACCCAAGCCTGAAAATTAAATGGCTTCCTATTTCACACACAAGTAGTTTAGTTTTTAAATCAACTTCAGCTTTTGCTGGGAATTCACTGATATCAGTTCAGCACAGATTTGCAAACAGATGTGAGAACAGTTGTACAAAAAGAAATCACAAAGCTCTAGTGGCAGAGCGATGCTTTCAAAATATACAGTTCAAGCTGCCACCGTCTATCTGAAGAGTACACAAGAATGGACTGGTTTCAAAGAGACCAACCACATGCCCTCTAATTCAGCAGAGCTCCATGTTCATGAATCCCTTCTATTGGTTTAGATTCTTTACTTTAATGCATGGAGGGAAGGGTCCTTCTGGCTGTCACTATGACAGGAAAAGGAAGAAAATAATAATAGTGTCCTAGATCATCCACTTAAAAAACCAAAAACTCAAAAAAGTCTTACTGGCTGAACACTGTTGTGACTACTAGTCAACCATTTCATCACAGATGCATCTAGAGCTTAAGTCTTCCAAGTAAGCTTGTACATATCAACCAGCACCCTTTCACTGCACCCAAGGAGGGCAGCACTCCAGTCTTTACCTTTTCTGCACAATTAAGTTGATATTCCTCAGAGCAACATACTGAACTTCAGGTTCTCCTGACAGCAGCGTTACAAGCGGAGGAGCTAGTTTCTTTAGCAGCATGTTGTAGTAGTCTGATTCCTTGGGTAAGAGCTCCATGAACTTCATCAAGACTTTCACTGCAGAGAGCACCACTGCCGAGTTGGCATGAGACAGCCATGGAGTCACCCTCTTGCAAATGCTAAAGAAGAAACACAAGAAATGGTTTTTTTTAAGATTATTTCAGAACTCCTTCCATAAGACTTCACCTGAACTGAGGACACAAAGTTGTTTCTGTTCAGAAGAGAAACGGCTGAAGTCAGGTGTTTGTTTCATGCAATGGTGCATATTTACAAAGAACCATCCAAGTCTTGTTTTCCTGAACACAGAAGGAACTGAACAAGGAAGTGTCACTGCTCACATTGCCAAGACTTTCCGCTCGGCATTTATCCCCAAAAATGGAAATGATACCAACCTTCTTTGTAAAACTCCTGGAAATCTATGAAACAAAGTGCTATACAGGTTTCCCTTGAGTTATGCAGGTTCTGTATATGTGAATTAGCTCTTATACGATGACCCTATACCCCAAATTCACTATATGTGAGGTAAATTCACTCTTATGCGATCAGCATAGGCACACCCCCCCAAGCAGGTAAGTCTGTGGGGGGAGGGGAAAAGGCCATGGGGCTAAGGCCCCACTCACCCCAGCCCCTGCTGCAGCTGCTCTGGGAGCAGCTGACACCAGCTGCCTGCAGCCGCTGGGCTGCACTGTGCCCCAAACCCCCCAGGACGGTGAGGGCAGTGGGTGTTGTCGGCTGCTCTGGGGCTGCAGCAGCAGGTGTTGGGGTGAGTGGGGAAAAGCGGAGCCCCTGGGGGGTTGGGGCATGGTGCAGCCCAGCAGCTGCAGGCAGCTGGTGTTGGCTGCTCCTGGGGCGGCTGCAGCAGTGGGCAAGTGGGGAGAAGCAGAGGCCTGGGGCTGCAGCAGGGAGCAAAGCAGAGGGAACTGTAAGTGGGTGCAGGGCATGGGATGGGTGGCCCAGCAGCGGCACCAGGCTCTTCCTGGAGTTCGACGGCGCTGGGAGGGGAGCTGCTACTACCTCAAAATTCGCCATAGCCCCCCCAACCTGCCCTTCCAGCACCACCAGCGAGCACTGAGAAGAAAATGGGGCCGTCACCAGCTCCAGCACTATTCCCCGCACCTTTTTGTTTACGCACTCCCCGTCCGTCGCCCCACCAAGGCCCGGGACCAACTGGTCAACCTCCTCCTGGTGATCTGGCTATCCAGGAAGGAGGCTCTGGCCAGGAAGGCTCCCGGTCACCTCGGGGCGTTTTTCCTTGGTGTCCTTCGCGCGCGTCTCCGGGTGGAGCACCACTGGGCAGTAGCCGCCGGCAAGCTGAAGCAGTTTGCCAGCCGGTGGGCGCTGTCCGGGGTGCTCTGCTCACTGACCCCCGGGGGAGCACTTGTTTTGAACCTTTGACCCCGCACGCACACCCTGTTTTCTTTTGAGTTGTCCCACGTAATATTTAGGTAACTTTCCCAATTTTGATTGAGTGGCGGCCCCCTGACAAATTTTTTTTAAAAGTTCCAGCAAGTCACCTGTCTGGTCACCAGCCGGACGCCGGTACCACCATTGGCCACCCGACCGGGGTGGCCCAAAGATCCATTGGACTTACTTCGGCCATCAATAGTACCAGCTCCAGCCTGCAGCAGCAGCCTGCCCTTGTCCCGCGCACAGATCTGGGGCCGTGTGTCCCCTGGAAAGAGCCTGGCACAGCCCCCACAGCCCACGGCCCTCCTGGGATGTGCGTAGCAGCAAAAGCTAAGCCACGCACCCCCTGCATCCCACGTCCACTCAGTTTCCTCTGCTTTGCTCCCTGCTGCAGTCCCAGGAGCAGCCACAACCTTCCCCCCGCTCCTTCCCTAGTCCCATCCCCCCCAGCCTTACTCCCTTCCTCCTTCACCGCTGTGGGAATGTATCCCTATTTCTTATATTGTAAACTGGGTTCCCTTTATGCAAATTCAATTTATGCACAGTTTTCCAGGAACACATGTAACACATAAATCGAGGGAAACCTGTATAAGGAGGAATTATCCTATCAGAGTTCAGGCAGGATTCAAGAAGTCAGGACTACCCAGCAACTCTGAACTAAGGAGTCAAGGGTCAAGCTTCACAGAAAGGTGCAACAAACACATTCCACCTGTTTTCAAACACTGCCTTTCAAAGGATTTAAAACCGACAGCACCATTCTGGTGAAGCCAAGGTAACTCCGGCATAGTGTCTTGGAGATCTTTGTGGGGTTTTAGAGATAATTCAGAGCTTGAGTTTGGGCCCAGGCACAGGAGATATTAGAACATCTGGTATAAAGAAGAAACCAGCAAAATTTAAGATGGAATTAGCTGTTCTGCTGCAAAAACACAGCCACTGAACAAAACCTAGCACATCAAAAGGGGACCTGCACAGAATTTTAAAGACACAGGCCTTCATCCTTTTTCAATACTTTAAGAAAAAAAAATTGTAGCTTTTTGACTTTATGCTCTCCCCCAACCTTTTCCTCCCACCCTTCAAATATCAGGGACAGAGCCTGACCTTTCCATGGTTTGCCACAGAACCAAAAGGCAGGTTTCAAGTAGTGTTAACTGTGATCTTAACCAGAATCGATGGTGCTGAATCTAGCACAAACTCCTTTTATTCTCTGTTGTGCACTGAAGTTATAGGTATGAACCAGAGAGAGAGTTTTAAACACATGACAAAGATCCCTTCCTAGTTGTCATTCCTCAGGTTTATTTCCCGCCCTGTGATGTTAGCTTAGTTTTCTAGTCATAAGAACTTCCGGTTTATAAGAAACCTGACATAATATAAAAAATAAGCTATTTTTAAAACACCTTCCAGGGCTTTCATGGCATGCAAACTAGGAAAACAAAGCAAAAATCATTTTTTTCTTTTAAGGAACAATACTAAAACTTTTGTATTGTGTAAAGTGCATTGGCCAGTTCTTACAATAGGGCTAGTCTCCACTAATCCATTGTTGGGATGAGAGATTACTATGTCCAGCTCCTTAAGGAAAATACAGAGAACAAGATACCAGTAATGGCCTGATAGGAGAGGGTAGGCCTATGCAGCTTGGTAACTGCTCCTAGCAGATGCCTGCAGTACCAAACACCCATGCCTTTGAAGAACTTTATGTGAAATCTATTTCTGCCATTCAAAGCCTGTAAAAACCTGTTTTATCAAGCCTGCCCATAAAGCCTCAAAGAGATGGGACACTGGGTTTGTTTTGTACTGCCCCCATGCTGGTCCAGTTAAATACCAGAGATGAGGCCTTAGCACAGCCCTGAGCATCCAACAAGGAGCATGCTCAAGAAAGAGCAGTTGAGAGTGGTGCCAAGGTGTGTTAGGGTTGCTCTAAATCTTCTACCCTGCCTCCTTTTTGGATGCGACTCATGCTGAGCAGGGGTGAGCAACCAAGATATACTTCTCAGCAGGGGTACCAGATGTGACACAGAGGCAGCATAGACATGTGGCCATTAGCTGCATGTGAAGGGTATGACCCAGCATACCTTTGAGCCTCACGATCATCCTGGGGGTTATAGTTGGACAGACAGTCCAGAATGAAGATCTGGCCCCATTCAGTGCATTCATTTAGAGCAGTTAACAATTTGTTAATGTTCTGTGGGTTCAGGTCCAGCAGGTTACTATTAGGATGCGACTCGCTGATCTCAGACAAGGCAGCCACAGCATTCGCCACCACCTGGGAGAGAGAGATGAGAACAATTCATTGCCTGTGTGTCACTCATACTGGGGTGTATAGCTGGGATCTGGGGGCTTAGCACAGGTTGAGAATTGGGGTTGATGGCACTATCCGGTTTAGCTCACAGGGGACCCAAAGTAGCCTGAGAACTTGCAATTTGTTCTTCACTGTCTGCCAAAAGCATGGAGAGTCCTTGCTAAAATGCTTTTGGTCTCTGAGGGAGGAACAGAAAGAGAACATCAGCAGTGCCATTGGGAGGCAGCTGCTGATATACCAGAGGAGCACTAAGAGACTGCAGCAGCAGATGGTGCAGGGAGAAAAACTCTGTAGTAAAAATATTTTAAAAAGAGGGTAAAGTCCTAAATTGGCTATAGGTGTGGCTGGTTGGTGTTGTCCAAATGAATGGAGTCCTTCCAGCAATACTGCCTTTTGTGATGCTACTTTTGGCCATGTCAGCCAAAAAGAGGTAGCAATACAAAGTACACAGCTGGAACAAGTAAAGTAGACAAAATATTCCAACTAACTCCAGGTGTCAAATATCTACCCAGGTTATGAAGCTCTTCCTGGCCTTAACTTCCATAAAGGTCACTCTCCCCACTAAATGAAAAATGTTTAAGAAAACAGTTCTCATCATAAAACCATTGATTCCCATATTGATATGCATGACACCCAATTAATTCAGTTTGAAAGGCAACAGGCAGCTTCTGAAGCCAACAAGTCTCCCTACTGACTTTTTAACATAAAAAGTCACACCAGATTCCAGAATGTCCCCAATACTAGTGTCTATGTACTGATATCTTTAGGGGATCTAGGTGCTGTAAATACACTTGCAACTGCAACAAAAATCAGAGAAAATTAGGGTTGGAAGGGACCTCAGGAGGTAATTTAGTCCAACCCCCTGCTCAAAGCAGGACCATCTCTAACTGGATCATCCCAGCCAAGGCTTTGCCTAGCCAGGCCCTAGACAAGGATGGAGATTCTAAAACCACTCTAGGTAGCCTGTTCCAGTGCTTTACTACCCTCTTCATGAGTACTGCTATGATTTAATGAAAAGCTGGGGACTTATAGAAAACTTGTGATGAGGAGACTGATGAGAAAACTCCCACAAAACGACCACTACCTACATTTCCCTTTCTGCAACTTGAGACCATTGCTCCTTGTTTGTCATCTGCCACCATTGAAAACAGTCCAGCTCCATCCTTTT